AGTCTGGGAAACTCACACAGGTCGCTATGAGGAGGCATTGACTCTTGGCAGTGAGTGAGTAGAACTACAAGAATGAATGAATTAAAGCTTGTTTAGTTCCGAAATTGGTTTTATGAATACAAAATGTTGAGTGACGTTCATCATTGATATTCAAAAACAAGATTTCCTAGATTTCAAAAAATATCAGATGATAATGTTGGAAGACATTTTATCTTTATGTCAAGGTAGTTCCTGATCACAGCTCAAATTTTGGATTATTTTAAATGAAAACATGATTTAAGTGTACAAATTTATATCATAAATATTGTTTAAGATACAATTATAATAATTTCCGACTCCTTCATCCTATTGATGATGACCATGACCCTGGGGCTAGGTTAAAGACAGGTATTCATATATGGGGTAAAGAGTATCTTTTTCATTTCTGGACAGATCCGGAGTGTAGACTGGCAATTCTAAAGAAAGCATTTTGAGGAAATGCCAAATCGAATTCCAGGCAGTTTGTTCAAGTGAACCAACTAGCAGAAGGAGAGGCAGAGGATGGCCCTCAGGATGGCATTGGAAAGAACTCCAGAAAGGCTTTAGAGGTGAAACATGTCCTCTGTGAGTAGCTGAGCAGATTTCATATTCTACATGATGCTCACATGCCAAGATGAGTTAAGTATGACAACACAATTAACAAAGAGTACAATTACTAAAGAGTTCACACTTTAGATTCTGCTAGACACACAGGAACCTGCAGCACTCTCTGAGAAGGTTGGCCTTTAAAAGCCTCGGCCTTTATTCCTTTCCTCTGATGTGACTGTACTTTCACTAGCTTGTCGGGTACTTCTTCCTCCCAGAGAGGAGAGGTTGGAGGTATAGTGGAGAAAGTGCTCAGTTGCTAACCAAAAGGTTGGCAGTTTAAACCCACCCAGCGGTTCACAGGAGAAAGAGGTGGAAGTCTGTTTCCATAAAGATTCACAGCCTCAAAAATCCTATAGGAGCAGTTCTTATTGTCCTATGGGAACTCTATGAGATGAAATTGATGGCAGCACATTCAATTTATTTAGTGATTTTAGTTGTGGATTGCATATGAAATCTAATTAACACAGCTGGGAGGGCGGGCAGAGGACACCTTGATTTGTATTCTGTTAATTTTTTAATGGCTCCCAACCAAACTCATTACCGTCGAGTCGATGCAGGCTCACAGCGACCCTGTAGGACAGGGTAGAGCTGGGCCTGTGCGTTTCTGAGACCGTCAGCCTTTACTGGAGTAGAAGGAGTCGTCTTTCTCCCACAGAGTGGCTGACGCTTTCAAAATGCTGACCCTGCAGTTAACAGCCTAATTCGTAACCACTGTGCCACCTTAGGGTGTACAAAACAGTGACAACCATAATATATACATGTATGTGGCCCCAGCATTTCCGTAAGTGCAAACAAAGGTCACCTAAACACCACCCAGTAAAATCAATAGTGATGACTGTGTTAGCCTGGGTACATTAGAGAAACAAATCCACAGAAACTCATATGTATAAGAGAGAGTTTTATATAAAGAGTAAGTGCACTTCAAGAAAACATCCCAACCCAGTGCTGCCCAAGCCCACAAGTTCAACATTAGCCCATATGTCCAACACCAATCCACGAAGTCCTCCTCCAATTTACAAAACACACACTGTGATGCTGAATGTAGGAGGAAAGCTGAATCAGTGAATGTGTGAGCATCTCAGTGCTGGCAGGGGTCTCTACACTGCTGCTCCAGCACTCAGGGCAGCATCTGGGTAGGTCCATGTGGCTTCTCCTCAGGGATGTCTTGCAAGAAAAGAGCCTTGCCAGCTGAAGAAGGGAACGGGCTAAGGCAGCTGCACCCTGGCCCCACCATCAGAAAGCGAGTGACTCGAGAACTAGAAAGGCGAGGCTCACTGAGCCATTTAATCCTGCACCGTTCAATTAAACCCACATGTGTTTACCGGCCAGCTTGTCAAAATTAACTAACTACCTCAATGACCAAGGAGTTTACCTGCCTCCCTTTTTTCCTTCTTTTATTCACTTCATTTATCCTTTCTTCAGTAATTTTCTAATTCATTATACATTTTTACTGTAAATTAGGTGGAAGTTTTTATTTTAGATCACCAGCGTTGTATTCCATGGTTTAAACCACTCATCAAACCTCCCACTACTGTTCCCCTACCTCCCCTGCGCTCTCTCCTTTGTTTCTCCTCTCTCTCTGGTGGACTCCTATCTTGTATCTCACTCAAGGGAACACCAGCCCATTGTTTAATCTCCTCTCCCTTGTTTCCCCCATGTGGAAAACTCCCATGTCTGTCCCCTTTGTTGTGAATATGTTGAACTATGACCCCCTCATCCTGATAACAGTAGTCTTATATAATATTTGTCCTTTTGGGATTGGCTAATTTCACTCTGTATAATGTTCTCCAGGTTCATCCTTGCCAAGAGATGCTTCATGGTTTCATCATTTTTTTCCCTCTTTCCCCAGCAATGCATAGTAGTATTTCATTGAGTATCTGTACCAACGTTTCTTTATCCATTCTTCTACTGATGGGAATTTCAGTTATTTCATCTATAGATTTATTAAGCCGTTACTATGTGCATTATTTGTTGTGCAGGCTTTATTTGGAAAGCAAGAAAATATAGACTCTCAAAAGTCTTCTACTCAAGATTCTATGTGCATGTGTTTTATGAGAAAAAAACATATGGAATATGAAGATAACATAGGGAGTGGTGCAGTTTGTATGATCTAAATCAATGCTTTTCAAAACATAGATGACCAGTTACAGAGTTATGTTATGTAAAATAAATTTAGTAGCTTAGAGTCATACTTTCTAAAATAATAGTGAAACAAAGGAGGAAGAATAGCATACATCAGTATATAATGTGTGCACTTTTGGAGGAAAGAGGTTTGCATGCACTGTATGCCAAAATGAAATACATATCCTACCATGAGAAAACAAACAAAAATTTGAAAGACACCATCCAGAAGTGTTTAATAGACAGACATATTATCAAGGATGGAAGACTTTATAAGGCAGAAAACACTTGACTGTGACTTGCAGGAGATAGAAAGTCTTTTCAGATGGAAAATATACCAAAAGCAATGTTAAGTGTGAATTATGGTATAACCAAAGGAGAAGTAAATGTATTCCTGAATGACATATCACCTTAAAACCATCTATCCTTCTTGAATATTTTAGCAAATCTGTGACCAAAATCCAGATCCCCTGCGTTGGAGTCATCATCTCTTTCAGAGTTTGTCAGAGAAACTTTTTAGGAAAGTTGTTCCTGGAAGGTAAATCACACTTCTTAGGGTGACTCAAAATAATCTTCTGTCTGGCGGCTTGTTCTAAATATTTATTTATTTAAGATACTGTATCTATCTATCTATCATCTAAGGGTCTAAAGATAAGTACCAATTTCAATAAGACTGAACGTGATCTAAGTTATATTAGATTCACTTGTGACTTCTATTGGACAGTGGGCTCTCGGAGCGCCGCTGGCCTAATATTTATAGGACAAAGATTCGAGGCCTTGGAACGACTGATTTATTTGAGCATTTTCTATGTACGTATATACAAAAGCAGCAAATCAACAACCAAACCAGTCAGGGTGGCCTCTGGAGCTGGGGAGCTGTTGTTGCAGGAATCTTGCAAGTTAATGAGAATTCACATGGGACTCAAGAGTGATGGAGGGAGGGGGAGAAAGGGGGAGGAGATGGAGTGGGGGGTGGTGGTATCAAACTCTTCCTTGCAGCTGGCCCTCTCCCTCATTTGTTGCTCCAATAAGCAGTAATTAGGTCCTGAGCTAATGGTGTCAGCTGATCTGCTGTTTTTAGGCTAAACCCAGCGGAATCTCCATGGAAACCCTGCTGGAGTCGTCCCCCCACCTGGATGCTGTGTGCTCCTTTCCGCCACCTGGCTGCCGCCGGGCCCGCTGCTACCTCCTCCTGCCGCTAACCTGCAGCCGGCAGCATGCGCACTGCCCCCAGGATCCCTAAATGGGACAATTCTGCCCGTGACGTCAGCGCCCAGCCGTCTCCACAGAAACTTTTGTCCCATTGGCCAATCAGAGAGCTAGGAAAGGGCCTGGAAGGGGAGGGAGCGGGAGGAGAGGGGAGTGGGAGGGGTGGGGGTGAGGGGAGAGGCGAGAGGTTTAGTGTGTGGAGCTGCTAGCGCTCCGCCCGGGCTGCCAGTCCTGGCTCCAGCCGCCTCGAGACCTGCCCGGAAAAGCGCGCACACACACAGCGCACCCCGCGCACCCTGCACACCCTCGCTTTCCAGCGCGCGCACACACACACACACACACACACAC